GCCGCCAGCGAAGCAGCTCTATCTAACTCCGGGCCCCGCCCCGACGCCCGCGCACGGCGGCCTCGCCGGTGACGTTACTCGCCCACGGCCGCACCTGCCGCCCACACCTGCGCCTCGGGCCTGCCCGCGGGGCGCGCCCGGGTCAGCGCACTCGGGAGCCGACCTCGGCGCCCGGAGCCCCGCCGTGCGCCCGGCTCCATCCTGGCGGCCTCCCCGCTCCTACGCGTCGGTTTTGCGCCTCCTAACGGCCGCCCTGGCGCATGCCCCCGGCCTTTTCTGAGTTTCCGTCCGAACTTCGGCGAGGACCCCGCGCCCGCCCCGCCAGCTCTCCGGCTCGCGCGCGAACGCGACTCGCCCCGGCCGAGCGCCGCGACGATTGGCCGGCGGCGGCGCGCTCCGAGCGCGTTCGCGGCTCTCCCGGTGCGCGGCAAAGCGGGGACAGCGGCCCCGGCCGAAGGAAGGCGGCGGGAGAAACAGCCGCGCTCAGCGCGAGCCGGCCACGGCCGGCGTCCGAACCAGCCGCCACCCCGATGCCAAACGATCCCCACGGGCCTTGAGGGACTCTAGGTTGCGTAGAGTTGGTCCAGTGACACCTGAACGCAGAAAAACGTTCTTTCAGCTCCCAGCCCCCCAACTTTTTTCCCCCTCAAATGCTGTGGATGAAATTGTCATCTCTTAGAAAGTTATTGTATCCTGTCCTTACGTTTGGAGACTCTCCTTGACGCTACATGTAAATGTGTACTTTCTTTCCTGTGTGTGATGGAAGAGTATAAGGAAGGTGAGGGGAGCATCGAAGCTGCCTCCTTTGGGGAAAAAAGATTACCTTATTTTAAAAGGTTCAAAAGCTGGTGTTTACTGAATTAATAACCTGTTAATATATCATAAGTGATATGTTGAAACTGCATTTTCACTTAACGTCTACTATATGCAAAGCACTGTGCTAACAGCCTTAGGGTAGCACAAAGATAAACTATACCAGTCTTGTTTTTGGAATCTTGAAGAGTCTGGTTTCATGGGGGGAAATATGTAGCTCAAGGTAAGCTTCAAAAATGCAATGATAGGC